TGACTTCTAAAGGTCTCATCCAGCCCTGAGATTCTTTGATGTGATTGCTCTGTCCTCTCCAGCTGTCTGTTTCTGATCCAGGGCTTTGCCTGCTGGAGCCCTGAGCTCTGAGTGAGAAACTCCCAGCTCTACACCACCCTGAGCAGCCCAGGGCCTCTCGCCAGTTGGCGGACGTGTGCTCTCTGGGGATTTTAGACCAGGACCAATCCACTCCTCTGATTTGCTTTCATTGTTGGCCATCCAAGGAAGGCTCCTGGCATGCGAAGCTGATGAACCCCTTCCAGAGATCTTCTGCCTCTATTAACTTAGGGGCTTCCCAGGCATCCTTTGCACACTGAGCAGAAAGAGACTGCCTTTCACCTTGACCTTTTTGCCTTAGCTGGTTATACATAGTTGACTGGACAACTCAGTTCTGCAACCATTCATCTCCTCAGAGTTCAGCTCATCGCCTAGTCCCTAGGTATGCTTCCGGTTAAGTAGGAGGCTGCTTAATCCCTTTTTGAGTGCAGAAGAACCAGCAAGTGGAGAACTCTGGATATATTAGTAAGTGATATGGGGATAGGATTATTTTAATTTAATATCTGTACATTCACTACAAGGAACAATTGGTCAAGAACTTATGTGTTGGGTTTGTATGTGTTCTAATGCAGTCAGCTCATGAATAGCCTGAGACCCATGTGAGTCCCCAAATTCAGAAATATGAAAATATTTGTAAGACTCTTGGCTTCCTCTACATTCCTGTCTTGTGACTTTTCAACTTCTGTGAACATTTTATCTCTTACTCGATGAGCTATTTTTCTAACAATAAGTGTACTTCCTAAAAGCATGTTACACATTGCTTTTTTTGTGGGTATAGATTCATATGTTTCTATGTAGAGATGGAATTCTGGATATAGAATCAGGTCCACCACTGATTAAACTTTTACTCTTCATTCCAAACTTTGTTTCTAGTAGGTTCATTAACTTGCCTTTAAAATTTTAGTTGTTATTTAAAAATTCCTGAACAATACATCAGTTTATTCTTGTAAAGCATTAGAGTAGAGCAAAGCTAAAGTTCTCCTGTACTACCACCTGAAACACATTTTCCTGGCTAGCGGTAACTACTGTTAAAATTTTGGAGGGCAACCTTTGAGCCCTTTGCCCCAGGCTTTATTGGAGGGGTATGTGCAACTCTGGTGCCCATTTGCTTGTATTTGAATTCCAGCCCAGTCACTCACCAGCTGAATGATTTAGGCATGTGACTTAACTCTATGCTCAGTTTCTGCCTCTGCAAAAATGGGGACAATAACAGTAGCTATTTCATGAGGTTTTATAAGTACATGTTTGTGTAAAGTACTTATAACAATGTCTGACATACAGTAAGTGCTCAAAGTGTTTTATATATGCATGCATACACACTCTAGAAAATTATGTTTTATGTACATGGTAACATTCTGTATATATATTTGAGTTACTTGCTTTTTAAAAACTCTTTTCATGTTAGCACAATTAGATGTAACCCCACTCTTTTTAACTACCTCATAGTTTCTCATTTTGTGTGTGTGTATATATATAATTGTTGCTATTGTTAACAAAGTTGCAAAGCCTTATACATGCCTCCTTTCTCGTTGTGCTGGGTGTTTCTCTAGAGATGTACTCAGGATATACATATTGGTGGTGTTGGTGGTATGTGTGTGTGTTTGCTATTTGGGGCATTGTTAATATTCTTGCTTTAAAATGCCTTTTATGTTTACCCACATATTTATCTTTTCTGCAATTGTTTATTCCTTCTTGCACCTCTGCGCTTCCACTGGGATCACTGTTAGCCTGGAGAACTACCTTTGCTGTATCCTGTGGTCCAGAAGTGCTGATGATAAATTTGCTCAGCTTTTCCCAGCTTTGACTTATTTGGAGGCATTTCTTTTTGTGTTAGTTTTTTAGAATGACACTTTTTATTTTGGGGTCATCCTAGGTTTGCATGCAGATGTAAGAAATAGTACAGAGGGATCCTGGGCACGTTTCCCTTGGTTTACTCCATAGTAAAATTCTGTAAAACTATAGTACTGAAAGCCTGAGGTTTTCACCCATTATTCACTGTGGTTGGACCTGTGTCTCAACATCTTCCCAGTGTACGGCTTCTGCTCAGTTCTTTGCCTCCCAGTGGCAAGTCCCTGTGAGGTCTTGCCTTCAGGAGTTGGACAGATCCTTGAGGTGAAAGTTAATGCAGACTTTTTGGACTCTTTTTTTTTTAATCTATCTCCTAAATTTCAGTTACTGTGGCATTAATGCTATTCTCTATCTCCTTTATGCAGTGAGCTAGAGAAAGATGAAGTCAGAGATAACAAACAGGAGACTAGCCTGTGTTGGGCTTCATTTAATCCTCTGTAGGCCATTCCAATAACAACATTATAAATGGGTATTGCTTTTTGGGGGGCATCTATTGAAATAATTATTTTTATTTTTCCCTTTAATATATTAAGGCAATGGGTTACATTAAGAAATATTTAAAGCTGGAGTCATCCTATGCTTGTAGATAAAACTATCTTGATTATGAGGATTATATTTATTTTTTAAATATGCTGCTAATAAATTGCTAATATTTTACGACTTTCACACATTTGTTCACAGGTGATACTGGCTTATAGTTTTATTTGCTTGTGTTGTACATGTCCAGTTTTGGTATTGGAGTTTTTTAGCTTCATAAAATGAATTCAGTAGCTTTCCATCTTTTCCTGTTCTATGTAGCATTTGGTATGCTGGAATGTTTTGTAGAATTTTCCCAAAGACTATTGGTCCATTAATGTTTATATTTCTTCTTGAGACTGTAATAATTTATACTTTCCCACAAATCCTCCTTTCAAGTCTAGCCTTCAAATTTATTGGTGTAGCATTGAATACAGTATTCTCTTCTAATTAAAAAATTCTACAAATGGTTAAATACTCTTTTGCATCCATTTGCAGCTTTCTTCCTTGATCAGATTCAGTCAGCCAATTTTTTTGGCTTTTTCAAAGACTTATCACTTAGTTGTATTGATCAATGCTTGAAAAAAATTCTTTCATTCATTTCTGGGCTTATCTTCATTAATTTTTCCCTGCTTTTTTTAGTTTATTTCTAGTTTTCTAGGTTTTAGTTAATTCAATTATCAGTAATTTTATTTTCTATCAAATGTATTGAGGCCATAGATTTTCTCTTCTTCTTTCATTTTTTTATTGAAGAATAATTGACATATGATATTGTATAAGTTTCAGGTGTACAACATAGTGATTTGATATTGATATACATTATGATATAGTCACCACAATAAATCTAGTTACCATCTATCATCATACAAAGTTGTTACAATATTATCAACTAGATAATTTTTCTTAGGATTCATTTAGGGTATGCTGTTTTCTACTGGTTGTTCATTTCTAAATAGTTTGTTATTTGCACCTTTCTTTTTTCTTTTATCCTAGCCTTTTTTCAGAAATGTGTTTAAGTTTCTGGCTGTCTATTTTTTGGGGAAGAGGGTGCTACAGCAGATGCCATGGTATGCCTCCCCATTCTTCTTTTGGGACCAGGACATTCCTTCGCTTGATACAGGGAATGTGGCTGCTAATGGGTCCTAGCCAAGTCATTCCTTGTTCATTGCCCTCAGCCAAATGGAGCTGCCCACCCAACGTCACACCCCTTCCCAGGCAGCTTGTGTCCAGTGACTGGTTGATGAGAGGGACAAAGGCCTGAACATCTTGCTTCAGTTTGGTATAACTTTGAGGGGCAATCTCACTCCAGAACTCTCTGTAGGATTGGTTGCGTGCTGGGTTCTCACTGCAGTGCAGCCCAACTTCTGCCTCTGCCCACATCCTCTTGTGCTTTCGCAGGTGTCCCTCCAGGAGCTCTGCTCAAAGCTCTTTGCACACAGATAGCTGGCTCAGAGTCTGTGTCCTGGGGAACCTCTGACCTCTGACAGGGCTACCTTTTGATTGTTGTTTCTACTGTAATTTACACTCATGAATATTTGTTCTTAGGCATGTGTACGACAGTTTCTGTACCTAGACGTGGAATACTGGCTTGAAGCAGGCTTGCATCTTTAGCTTTACCAGGTACTGCTGACTAGTTCTCTGCAGTGGTGGTGCCAGTTTACCTCCCCCCTGCAGTGCCCTCTACATCCTTGCTAGCACTTCATGTCGCCGTCCCGTTGTCTCAGCTTTCCTTGCCACTCTGCATCTCTCATAGACAGGTTACAGGGGGTTTTAAAAAACTCAATCAGTGGGTCTCTAGCTTTTCACGGATTAACTCTAGATGCTCATTCCTATTATTAATATCATTTTTATAAAGAGATATAGTTAACTGACTTAGGTAGTTCAAAATATAGAACCAGGGGTCAGGATACCTGGATTCAAATCCCTATTTTGCCCAGGATCAACTCTATGGCCTGGGGTCAGTCTTTTACTCTCTCTGAACCTCTTTTTTTCTCATCTTTTAAATATGAAAGTTGGATTAAGAGAACCTTCTAGACCCTATCCACTCTGATAACAAATGATTCCCAGGGTTCAACCCCTGTCCCTTCTCCCACCACTTTCACCCCACTACTGCCTGTACTGAAGTCATACATTAGGGACCATCCTTTCTCTTCTAAGAAGAAGAAGAAGAGATCTTTTGCTTTTCAGCTTTTCATGGTGATGAGGGGCTTGGGGTCAGACTTGGGATAGGAGGATGCCCAGAAGGTGGAGTGGGGAGGACTGGAAGGGAGCTTCATTCTCCTTGCTATTGCCCCCCCACCACCCCCTCTGCGCCTCAGCTTCCACCTAACCCAGATTCTGACTGACTTCCCACTTCCTGGTCTAGAGAAGTGCTCACTAATTCTTATTTAATAGTTTTTACTAGTTCTACTTTGAGATATCTCACAAGGTAAGTAACAAACCTAGTCCTTTAAAAGTTAAGGTTTTAGATGGATCAATATTTATTGAAAAAGTATTTATCGATTCTGTTTTGGTTAACTGTGGGAACAAAAGCTGAATGAGACTGTCTCTCCCCTCAGAGCACATGGTCTTGGTGGTGAGATCTGGTGCACGCGGAACACACTCCAGACACAGTCCTCTGGGTGTGGCTGCAATGAAGGCTTACCAGTTCTGGGGTGCCAACGTAACCCTAACTGAGATGGAGTCCATGGCGGCACCAGAAGATGGCCAAGAGCAGGGGATGAACCGACGTTACCTCTTCTGCTTGTCATTGTCCATGCTTCCTGCTTCCTTATGTGGAGAACTGAATACAAGCTAAAACCACCATCAGCTTTTCCTGTTGCTCTAAGCCCTTGCAGTCGGCTCCAGGTAGGGCCTCGTGTCTCCCTTATGTATCTGTATCATCAGCAACGCTGTTTTTCTCATTCATAGTCTTAGGATTCTTCCTTCTGAGATTTTGGAGTAGAGATACAAATGAAAGGGCTCTGGTTTTCTCTAACAGGCAGGTCACTGGTTTCATATGTGAAAATGCCGGTCAGCCGTGAAAGTAAGTGACCATGTGTCCTGTCTACAGACTGGAGGACACCTGTCCACAAATGTGATAGAAAGCAGGCCACATTTCCTTAAGGAAATGAGTCAAAACCTGTCTTCTTTACTAGTCTCCTTTAGACTTTTGTTTTTACTTTGTATGTGCTAGTGTGAAACTCCATATTGGCAGTGGAACTGATTGCCCCTGAGTAGATGTCTGTGTGCCTAGAGCCTACTGATAAAGGGGCAAAGGAAGGAAGCTGAGATACTGGGAATTGATGAAGGAACATATGGGAGGAATCAATATGAATTGTACCCACTGAATCGGAATTCCAGGGACCAAACAATACTTAAGCAAAATGGCTGGTCAGTTTTCATCTCTGATGGAAATGTCATCCAATAGTTCCCCTTCTGGGAATAAAGCCATAAACAATTATAGAAAATTGACTTTATACCTGAATTCCCAAATGAAAGGGAAAAGTTCCAGGCACCTGATTTCTCAAATGAATACAGAAATACTCAGATGAAATGATCTGGAACGATGTGTCTGCAAATCGTGTTCTTGGAAGCAACACATCAACATGAGCAGAAACTGTACAATGTGGAGCCCAAGTGGAGGGACCAACCTGGATGGGGTTAATCAGGGAAGGTTTTGGTAAAGATGAATTTTGTGCTTTTTCATTTTTGGGGGGGGACAAATGAGCACAAAGACTGGGGTTGAGGATGGTGGGGTAAATCCCAGGCAGTGGGATCTGCTCCCTTCGGTGGTGGTTTCAGACAGTGGAGATCCCAGCTGATCATCTTCCCATCTTCGTCTACTGGAGCCCCCTGAGCACAGCCTGTAAGTCACAGGGAGGGAGGATGGGCCCCAGATTTTTCCTCTCTAGAGCCCAGTGCTATGTGACTTGGGGAACAGAGCGTATTGGTACCTGCCTTCTCTGGCATTTGTTTCCCCAGAAGTTTATATTTCATTTCCAGCATTAACATATCAATGACAACAGTATGCATACATTTTATTAAATTGCCTCTAGTTGGAATAGCTAATATGCCCTTGTAATGCCATTAAAAGTCAACAATTATGAAAAAAGAGAACATGTCATTTGTTATCTTTCAAGACCTCAAACTAGATTACCGTCTCCTAACAGGTGAAAGTCCTTTTGCCCAACAAATTAGACATGGACAAATTGCTTCTATTTTAAGCTATTTTGAAAGGCTTTCCCCTCTGTTACTTTTCCCATTCATTGTATTTGAGGTGCGATGTTAATTCTTAATCACAGGCACTAAGTGAAGGGAACTATATCACAAGTAATAGAAAAATGGCAGGTAATCCAAAACCATTTTTATTTCACTTTGGAATATATACATATACTTACCTTTGAATATGGGGATGTTTGACATTCCAGAAATTTATTTCAAACCAAATTAGGAAGCCAAACTGGGAAGACTTCATGCCCCTGGAACTAAGAGGCTACGTCCAATTTCTAGTCCTGCCAACCCCAGTTAATTCCAGCTTGCATCTCATTTCAAGCTGTGGAAAAGCATGAAGGACTCTCAGACTCATTGACAATTTATTCTCTGACAAACTTGTACTGAAGCAGGGAAGGGGTTAAAAGATGAGTTTTTATAGATTTCTTTAAGTAAATGGAGAGGCTTGAGAAATCAACAGAACTGTGGTTAATAGTCTTAAAATATAAACTGAGCCATATTAAGAATTATGAGTTTACTTGAGCAAAAATAAATTTGAGTTGGGCAGCCTGCAGTCTAGCAGATAGAAGGGAGCTCCAAGGGGTTGTACAAATATGAGACGTATATGGGCACGAGGGAGAGGGAACAAGGAGGGAATACTAGGCAAAAAGCAGACCAGTTATTGCAAATTTACTTTCCTTATAGGATTGCAGGGGCCTATCAGGCAGATGACCCAACTAGTGCTAATCAGGTGATTCATGGTTGGCTGGTTAAAGATTCCATTTCTGTACCATTTGACCCAGTCATTCCACTCCTAGGAATTTACCTGAAGAAAACAAAATCCCTGATTCAAAAAGATATATGCACCCCTATGTTGATCGCCACACTATTTGCAATAGCCAAGAAATGGAAGCAACCTAAGTGTCCATCAATGGATGAATGGATAAAAGAAGATGTGGTACCTATACACAATGGAATATTATTCAGCCATAAAAAGAAAAGAAATCCTGCCATTTGCAACAACATGGATGGATCTAGAGGGCATTATGCTTGCTAACAAGCAAGGCAGAGAAAGACAAATATGATTTCACTTATTTGTGAAATATAAAAACAAAGCAAAACAGAAGGAACAAAACAACATTAGATTCATAGGCAATGAGAAGTGATTAGTGGTTACCAAGAGGGAGGGGAGTGGGTGAGGGCAGAGGGAGGGGGATGGGGACTGTTGAGCCACTGGGATGTACATTTGCTTAAAAAAAAAAAAGGAATAAACACAGGGAGGAGACTTGAAAAATAAATAAATAAAATATTGAATGAAGTGCTCCAAAATAAAAAGATTCCATTTCTGGGAAAGCCCAAACTGTAATTAAGTTGCCTTGGTTTGGTGACATGGGGCTTAGCATAAGCAACTCCATTTTGGGCCTGTTGTCTTATTTTTAAACAATGTAAATTTAAGAATCCATAAGAAGCATATGTAATATACTGAGTTTATTATGCACCAGACACTCTGACATTATAGTGGTATAAGATTAAAAACAAATGAGCAAAGAAACACATTGTTATGCTCCTGAAGACTTCAATGATCTGGCCCGTGCCTGTCTTGTCAGCCTCTCTGCTCCTCTCTGCCCGTTGGTGACTAGTTGCTAGCACTGCCAGTTGTCTCTTATTTTCTCAAACGTGCCAGGTCTGTCTTGACTTAGGACCTTTGTACATCTGTGGCCTTTGCTGGCTCTGCCTGGAGCTCCCATCTCTCCTCACACGGCTGACTCCTTCTCTTTCTTTGGATCTTGGCTCAAAGTAGCATCAATTTCCCTGGCCCCCCTTCTTTAGATGCTTCCCCTCTTGTGGGCTGCCTTAGCAGCCTCTCCCTTTTGTGTCCATTTGTCTTTGCCTTTGTTCTTTACCAGGATGTAAGCGTCTCTTGTCCAGGGCTGCATCTCCAGCTCCAAGCATGGGGCCTGGCTCATGGAGATATGGGATCCCTGTTTTTGAGTTAATTCACCAATGTTGAATAAGATCTGATGTGAAAGGGCCCACAGTCTGGTACTGAGTGTAGCAAATCTGAAAACAGTAATTACTGTTGTTATTTCAAAAGTTACTATTGGCTTAAAAAATTTTTTTTTTAAATATCATAACCAATTTTATGGATTTTTAAAAATTATACTTCTTCTTATGGAAGTTGTAAATCTTGTTTCATTTATATTTCCACCTACCATTCTCTCCCCACCATTGGGTGACTGAAGGAAACTCCAGACATCACATGCAGACTAGGACTGGAGTGAGGCATGTGAGCCATTTGGGGTACAACATCAGGGGGGCCCTCACTTCAGGAGCTGACCCTGCCTTCACACCCCCTGGGGACCTGACCCCAGTCCTGTTCCTGCACTATATCATGTTGCCAGTAAATATCTTAGTCTGTATATGTCTGTATAAGACAAAACTTCTTAATTAAAACACACACATACACAACTACATTACTATTATCACACTTAAAAATAACAATTCTTTAAGATCATCAAAGTCCCAGTCTGTGGTCAAATTTCTTGGATTATTTCATATGTTTTTTAAAGGTTGGGGATCCGAACAAAGTCCATATGTTGCCTTTGGTGATTGGCTCAGAGAAAGTCTCTATTCATCTATTGGTTTCCCCATTCCTCCTTTTATTGCTATTTTTGTTTTGGAAATCCCAAACCCTTGAAATTAACTGATTAAAAGAAAAACAGGTGATTTTCCCTGTAAAGTCTTCCACATTATTTGTTGTGTGTCTGTGTGATATCAGTGAACATGTTCTCTGCCTCTAGTATGTCCCATAAACTGGTAATTAGATCTAGTGGCTTGACTAGTGTCTGGGTCAGTTCAGGCTGCTGTAACAAAAGTACTGTGGACAAGGTGGCTTATAAACAGAGATTTATTTCTCACAGTTCTGGAGGCTGGATGTCTGAGTTTGGTGTGCTAGAACAGCCAGATTCTGGTGAAGGCCCTCTTGTGAGTTGCAGACTGCTGACCTCTTGTGTCCTTGAATGACAGAAAGAACTGGCTAGCTCTCTGACCTCTTCTTAGAAGGGCACTAATCCCATGCATGAGGAATGCACCCTCATGGCCTAACTCCCTCCCAAAGGCCCCACCTCCAAACACAGTCACATTGGGGATGAGGGTTTCAACATACGAATTTTGAGGGGAACAAGCATTCAGTCCACTGCAACAAGGTTTGACATTTTTGCAAGGATACTTCATAGCTGCTGTTCTGTTTATCCACTCAGGGGCACATAATGTCTGGTCCTCTTTCTTTTAGTGATGTCAGTAACCATTGAAGATTATTGCCTGGATTCATTACTTATGTTCTTCTCCCCATCAACTACTTGTTTACTTTGAGATAGCTTTCATTCAGAAGAGGCAGATGAAACTTGATTCTGTCCCTTGATGTAACAGTTTTCAGAGTAATAAGTCAATTTTCTTTTATTCTCCAGAGGTGATCAATGAGGTGTTGTTATTGTTTTGTATCATGAGGAAATCATGGATTTATAAGGTGTTTGGTGTGTTTCAGTAAAGTTGTCTGCAACTTTTTGCAGTTGGAGTCCTTTTAAGTTGGATCCTGAGGACTTTTAAGACCTGGTAGTCTTGCTGGTCGCCTGGTATGACTGGCTATTCTAGACTCATTTTGTATATTTTATGCCCCAGATCTACAATCAGCTATTCTACCAAGGAGCTTGAATGTCTTTTAGTGGAGAATTTTATTTAGGGACCACAGTATGAATGTAAAAAGATTTAAATCCAGAATCCCGATTGTCTACTTCTGATAGTAATCATTAATTTGTTAAAGGAATATAGTTAATGATCTTTGATAATCCAAGGCGCCATAACCAGTAGGAGGGAAGCCAGCCGGCCCGAGGACAGCAGAAGGCGGAATGAAGAGACGGAAGATACATGCTCCAGTTCCTTCCTCCCCTTCTAATCATCCTTCTGCTTTCACCCTCTTACCCCGAAACTACCAAATGTTTCCTTTTCCTGAATGGAAAATTGTTACTGGTCTATCAGATGTAGTTGGGGTAGGAATGGAGATGGGTGTAGACAATTGATAAAAGGACTACTGGGAGGAAAATCCATTTTTCCCTTTTAAAAACAAAGCATTCTTCTTTCTATTTCTCTCTCTTAATTTTTTTTTGGGTTATGGATAATCTTTTGTGTTTGATACCAAAGAAGGAATGGAAAAATGTGGTTTCAAGTACAAGATACCAGAAACTTGTGGAGATGGTGAGAGGTAGCACCGGATTTCCTCAGGGCGCAGGAGGCAGAAGCCAGAGCAATAGGCCGTCACACCTGGAGCTGGAGATGGGGTCTCCAACGGATCCAGGGGGACCTGGGGCTCTGACATTCCCTCTGCTCAGGGAGGGTGTCTACACTGCTGCAGATGTACAACCCACTGGAATATAAATCTAGTGTGGGCCACTCCTGAGGGTCAGGAGCAGTGTTTCAAATGGAGGGAAAGCAAGCAGCCACCTCTTCAAGCTGTTATTGTTTTTGGGGGAAGGCGTAATAGCATTTCTGAAAGTGGAGTGGTTGTTCCTTTATTGTTACCTGATATTTCTTAGTTGTTATTTTTTTCCAGGTTGCTTTTCCAGAAAACTTATTGTTCAGGGAGAGACACAATCGAAATCAATTCCTAATTAAATTTGTGTCTGAATTAATAAATCACAACTATTCAGATCATATCTGTCTGAATAATTTCTATTATGGTGAACATAATTGTTAGATTCAGCATTTAATGAACCATATTGTTAGGTAAAAATCTTATGACAATTGAGACTAATAGAATATATTAACCTTTATTCTTCCCAGGGTGACATTACATTGGACCATGTTAATATGAAAGCACCCAGAAGAGTCACATCATTAAGTAGCCATTGTGACTCTGCCGGCCGTCTGATGGGGCTTAGGAGGCTTTGGAAAATTAACAGTGTTTGATGTTTGTCAATGGTTGTCCTTATCTGCAATTAGTTTGTAGGGCATTTGGTTCTGTGTATGCATGTCTTAGCTGTACTGAGCTCAAGAGCTGGAAAGCCCCCATCAAATGTCAACAGCCTGTTTGGTGTACCCCTCTATTGGGTACTCTGGGTTTGGGGCCTTGGGGCACGCATGTAGCAGGGTGACAATAGAAGAAATAAATATGACTCCTTCCCTCGGGAAGTACTTTCTCCTAATGGAGAAAACAGAAGGGCTTTATAAGAAGGTACAGATGTCCTTTATACCTTCTTATATTTATATATTAATATATAAGTATATTTAACTAGAAGTAGTTTTATGGACCCATGCCAAGATCTGACTCTAAAGTCCTGTGATAGCTTTCTTAGAAAATATTTTGGAATTTTTACATCCTCTTGAATGTTATCTCCTTCAAATATTAGCGTGGCATTCTGGACACCTTTCCCAGTGAGCTCTGTTTTGGAAAATGTGTCAAGAGTTTGGCATCTGCGTTTTAAGTGTCTAGGCTGGAGCATCTGCTCTGCCTTTGTAACCAGGAAAATTACCCTTGTTCACAGAACAAGAGATATTGGGCAATCTTACAGTTAAAGGTGAGAGCCAGCCTCCCTCACCTCCGTGTGACATTAATCAATCTACTAGTGACAACAGCCAGTGCTAACTAGGCTTTCTGTGTTGCTCAAAGTCAGGCCAGTACCTCATGTGTTAGACCTCACCTTTCGCTCACTGATGACAGACCAGCACTTCGTGCAAAATCCCCTGTCACTGAAGAGTGGCCAAGGGCCATTGGGTTTTACATTAACCATAACACTGACCACACTAAACCACAGAAGCTACAAAGTCGCTTCCCCTCATCCTTTCCTGCCTATGAGAAGGGGTGGCATGGATTGGAAGATGTACTCCCGAGCACTGTGTGGTAGTGGTGACTGTCCGCTGAAGTCTCTGCAAATTGGCTCCCAGCTCCAGTTCCCGGTTGGTTGGTCTGTTAAAAGTAAGGGACACATGGTTAGGATAGCCAGTTTTGTTTAAGCAAATTCCTTAGAGGAAAACAACCCCAATGATCAGTGGTGGAAGGAAAAGGACAAGTACTAAGCCCTTAAAGATACATCCCACCCCCAAGTCCAACAGTCTAGGAGACGTGCCCAGTCCACGTTGGATTTATACATGCACTTAACCATTTTAGACTGTGATCTAAAAAGACTGAGATCTTCCCAAACTGATGAGGATTAATGTAGGGAAATTTTCATAGAGAATTTAGACAGGGTTTAGCAGGAGGGAGTGGGAAGGGCATCTTGGAGGGAAGGCAATAGAACTGGCTCTGCCTGAGTGGAGAATGAGGGAGTAATTGGCCCCAGGTGTGTCCTGAGGTTCAGAGGCCGCTGGCCTCCACCCCCTGTCTAAGAACCCAGCACTTTCCACTCCCTTCTTTAGAGTCAGGACAGACTCAGGCTGCTCCTCCAAAGTTGCTCTTCCAGGCTGTTCTCCTGACTCCCTCTCCTATTCCTATTCGCCTTGCAAGCAGTCTATCCTCAGGCTCCTGACTAATTTTAGCCTAACAGTTCCTGGGCTCAGGGTAATTGGAACAACTGCTCCCACCGGTCTGCCTATGGGTTCCCGGCGGATGCCAGCCATTAGCAGGACTCTCCTTGGCCAGGGGCCCAGTCCCCAACAGAGCTGAGCTTGGAGACAGCCAGCAGAAGGGACCCGAGCTGGTGGTAAGCAGGTGCTCTAATCCCTCTCTGAAGGTGGTTTCTGCGAGTAGACATGAGGATATTTCATGTGGTTGATTATGGGGGTGGGAAAGGGACAGGGAAAATCTATTCCTGAAAATAGTACATGCAGGTTTAAAGATGATGGTCTCCCAGTTGCTTTTTCAAAGCCATCAGAGACAGTGTATGGAAGGTGGTGAAATGAAGTATAATTTATCAAGGAGGCTGAAGGGGACTTTTCCAGGATGAGGGAGGTATTTCTGTTTAGGTGCAGAAATATTTAGTTTTGAAATTATTAAACAGCATCATCATCTTCTTGGCCATTTTGCCTTTTTGGTAATCTGAGCGGAGCGAGCATATATGTATTTGTGTCTGCAAATTACTTTGAAAAATGCATATTATTTGCTTGTTCTGAAGAGGCTCTTAGGCCCTGTTGTCTAAATAGAAAATTTGAATCTAATAAAATGGAACTATTATGGACTCCCCAGACAAATAATAACTGACGCTAATACCTTTGAAAACTGAAAATTTAAGAAAAAGGTCATTTTGATTAGATATCAGGACAAAATTCAGTATAAATTCTAATACGCATTTCTTTCTTTCCCCATTTTCCCTGTTTTAACACAGTCAAGGCAAATCCCTGAATACAGGAGAAAGTTGCTTTCTGTGCTCTGAGAAACAGCCGAGGCCTGTAAGCCTCATCCCCAAGAATGCCTCCTGTCCCTGGAGCCCCTGGAAGCTGTGAGGAAGAGTCGGTATGTTCTGACATTGATTCTGGACACGTGTGCTGGAGAGGAGGTGATGGGGGAAGGGTATCCGGCTGGCCATTTTGTCCACTAGGCACCTTGGGGCAGCACAGGTTCATGTCATCCTGGGTGAACTTCTTACCTCCGTACTGTAGGGGCCTTCGAGGCAGGCATGTGATGCCTTTGAGTTGGAGAGGATTTCTGCCCGGGGACCTCTTTCACCACTCACAATCTTTGCTACAGGTTTTCAAATACAGTCACCTTTCTACCTTGAGGATCCAGCATCTCAACTTTTCTTTGTTCATCTTCCCTCTCAAAGGCGTATTAGCTAAGAGGGGCTTTAGGACCCCCTTTGCATATCATCTTTTTTCTTCCCTTGAACTTCTGGAGTGCTGAAACTCCTGCAGCTTGGTTGTGCTGTGCCCTGCTGTTTTCTGAACCTCAGTTTATCTGTAAAATACGTAGAGGCAGCCTTTCTTTTAGCCAGGTATCTTATGTGAAACCTCAGTGGGTAGAATATATGCCAGCACACAGCTCTGCTGCAATCGGGGAGGAGTCCACTGGCGCCCCCTCTTCCGCCTCTCCTTCAGTCCCTCAGGGAGTCCCCAGGGCCCGCTGGACAGGAAGGACCAGGGTTCCACAGGCCACTGTTTGAATCCACAGGCCACTGTTTGAATCCGCAGGACTGAATGATTACTACGCCTTCCCAGCGCTAGGGTGTGGAGGGTGCAAGTATTTCATGGGTAAATGGCCGTCTCTGGCCTCGAGCACTGGCTTGGATATCTATGAGGGAGAAAGGAGGGTGTGGCCGTAGGCTGTTGCCCTCCTACTCACGTGCCCTCTTCAGATGGGAAGATCTGATAACGTGGGGTCTCCCACGTCAATCTCTTGGAACTGTATGCGTGGGGGGATCTTCTCCCAGATGGCGTATTCCGAGCTGATTGCAGTGTCCCAGCCAACACTTCTACTGTTTCCCCGAGGAGGAACTTGTGCCCCGTAACTGTGCCTTGTATCTGTGGAGCACAATGGCTGTTGTTGGGGGTGTGGCTGTTCTGCTTTGAGGGGTGTCAGGAGCTGAAAGAGAGGCCCTCACAAAACACCCAGCAAATGGGCAGGACTTACTTTCTGGAAGTTTCCCTGTTGTAAATCAAGCGCTCTTTTAGGAAGATCAGAAAGTTCCATATTCACTGTAAGGTTCCTGGCTGGGGCTCGGCCCCTTCTTGCACCCCCTCTTTGGTCGGGTGACACACTGGCTGCCTTCTTCTGGAGCCCCTGGTTTCCTAACCTATAATGGATGAAAGATCACATCTGCCCCACACAGGTAATCTTTCCCATCGTAATGTTTGTTAAGCTTTTTTGATTTACTGAAGAGTTAAAGTCATGTCAGGTCACAAAACTGCACATTAGATGTGCTTCATGAAACACTGAATGAACAGTTTAACTCATTTATTTCGCCATCTTTAAAGCAGCGCAGCAGAGGAATGGCACCTCCCTTTATAAATCTTCCCATTTACTTCCAACTCAGCTTTATGGGTGGATGCAGACCTAGTCTGTTCTGGGTTTTATGGACGGCAACCTGACAGGTACTGCTCATACTGGTGTGCAAACCCAGCTCACATATGTTAAATTAGCCAGAGAAAAATTTCATCTCGGAAGCCTGAGGCGTGGGCTTTGCTGGCAGGACTTCCCTTTGGTGTCTGGGAATCACCAGGCCCTTACTTTCATCTCCCTTCTTAACGGTCACCCTTGTCTTCTCTTCCCATTTGGCTCTTTCACTCCAAAAGTCCAGCTGATCTGAAGGGAAATTTAACAGCAGAGGATTTACAGAGCATGATTGCTGTTGGTTCTAAAAGAGGATTTAGAGGCTATGATTTGGGACTTAATTTAAATAAAGCCAAGAAGAGTCCAACTTGTGGCTTTTCTCCATTCAATTCAGTCCCTTGCTCCTCCTAAGAAAGGGAATTTCCAAAGAGGGGCACGATTGCTTCACGCATCTTGGGTAACCCTATAAGAGCAGCGGTTAACACATCAACCCTGAGGTAAGGTCCGAGGGTCGTGCTAAGGGACTTCGTGGAACTGAGTGTGGCAAGGGGGCCCTTCCCTGGCAGCCTGATTGCTTCCTAATGTGATCTAATGTCAGTACACCAGGCTTTTCATATTCCTATTTTCTAGATATTTCAAGTTTTATTTGTGGTCTAATAGATAATCAATTTAAAAAAGTTCTAAGGATATTTGAAAGTAATTTCAAATTTGTGATTCAAAATATGCAATATGCTTTCTATTATGAAGTTCAAAATATATTTATTAAACCAGGTCTGTAATGGTTTCCTCATGTCTGTTCATCCTTACGTATTTTTTATCTGTTTCACCTGCTGATTTTTTTAAAAGACAAGTGAAAATCTCTACTATTACCGAGGTTTTCTTAGTGTTTCCTTTACTTGATCAATCACTCTGGTTTTTTGGAAGTGTGAATGTTTATGATGCTTTTATGTTTTTTATAAATTGTACCTTTTATCACTGTAAAATATTCATCTTTATTTTCTGTAAGTTACTGTTGTTGATAAATATTACTAATCATTTTTTACTTAAAACGCTTTACTTGAAAATTGAAAATAGACGAACATTAAGACAACTGCAAATAGTAATGTAATAAAACCTAGATACTCATCACCCCAAGTGAAAAAGGGTTAATATTTTTCATGCATATGATCAGATTAAGAAAAACAGACTTTCTTTTTGAGAGCGGTTTTAGGCAAAATTGAGTAGAAAGTAGAGTTCCTGTCTTACCCGCTCTCCCACCAGCCTCCCTAAGTACCAACAGCCTGCACCAGAGTGGTCCATTTGCTACAATTAATGAACCAACACTGGCACACCCCAAGTCCATAATCTACATTAAGGTTCATCTTGGTATTGAATATTCTGTGGGTTTGGGCCAATGTGTAGTGACATGTATCTATGATTATAGTTATCACACAAAATTTCACTGCTTGGCAAATGCTCTGTGCTCTGCTTATGCATGCCTTCCACCGCCCTAATCCCTGCTAACAATTGATCTCTTTACATCTCCATTGTTTTGCCTTTCACAGAATGTCATATAGTTGGAATCAGATGTATACAGTTTTTTTAAGATTTGCTTCCTTCACTTAGTAATAAGTTTTAAGGGATGATAATATTTTCTCCTAGTCAGTAATAATTTTTATTGGATGATAGCACTGAGTAATACTCCATTGTCTGGGTGTGCTACAGTTCATCCATTCTCTACTGAAGGCCATCTTACTTCCAACTTTTGACAATTATGAATAATGTTGCTATAAACATCCATGTGTGGGTTTTTCTGTAGACATAAGTTTTCAGCTTATTTGGGTAGGTGCCAAGGAGTGTGAGTGCTGGATCATATGGTAAAGTATGTATAATTTGCAGTTTCCCTAAGATTATAAGATGTTGAACATCTTTGGCTATGCTTATTTGCCATCTGTGTTGTGTATCTTCTTTGGTAAGGTGACAGTTTAGGTCTTTTGTCCATTTTTTTAATCTGGTTGTTTTCTTATTGTTGAGTTGTAAGGGTTCTTTCTATATTATGGGTATAAACAGTTCTTTATCAGATATGTCTTATGCAAATATTTTCTTCTAGTCAGTGAGAGATTTGTTTTAAAGAAATAAAACATCATAGATAAAGTTTAAATCTTCTACATTTCCCTCTCTAGTCCAATTCAGCTCCCTTCTATGCCTTCTCAAAGGGAACAATTACCCTGAATTTGGTGTGCATTCTGGCTAGACTTCTGTATTTATTACGTGTATTCATTAATTACACATAGTAATGTTTTGTGCATTTAAAAGTTAAAGATCTTATACTGTATATTACATTTCAAGATCTCTCCCCCCGACTCAGTCTATGTTTTTTTGAATATGCTCTACCCATGTTAATACATTAGATATACTTATTCATTTTAACTAATGTACAATATTCTATTGCATGAATATATCACACATTTTATATCCATTCCCCTATGTTGGGCATTTGAATTATATCTAATTTTGTTTTCTTATGAATAAAACCAGTGTCTCATTGAGTGTTTGTGTGTTTCTTTAGTGCATGAAATGGGAAGTGGGATTTCTGAGTAACAGGATTTTTTACTTGCTCTTCAATGTGATTGCATCAATATATGCAAGGAGTGCATGAGGTTTGTACTTTTCCATATTTTTACCAATTGGTGTGGTCAGACTCTTAAATTTTTGTCAGTTTAAAGGATGGGAACTCATATCTCACTGTTTTTTTTGGTTTTTGTTTGTTAAGACTGCATCTCCCTGATTGTTACTGGGGCAGAACACTTCTCATACCTATTGGCCACTTTCTCATTTGTTAATTGCCTGTTCATACCCTTTGCCCATTTTCTACTGGGCTGTTTATTTCTTACTAATTTATAGGAGCTATTCATGTATTCTGAATATGAAGTGTTGGCCAAGATAATATTTAAAATATTGAACAACAAAAATGAAACACCAATAATAACATGAGTAATTACCAATCAAAATAGATGCCTTATTCAATTAAAAAAGTGAATTCATAATGACATTATTTTACTTTTATTATAAAATTACAGAGATTTATTCCTATATATCTAGGTATTTAGTTAACTAGAGTATTTTTGAATATGATGTGGGTTGGTCTCAATTTTTTAAATAAGGAAAGCCCATTGTTCAAGCTCGTCTATTAAACAGTTATATTTTTCTACTCATTTTTATGCCTTCTTTATGTTATAAAGATATAAAGATACCATATATATTGGTTCTGTTTTGATATTTCTAGTTTGTTTCATTGTATTAGCTGTCTGCCAATATCACAATTTTTTATTAAATCACAACTTTGTAAAGAATTTGAGTGTTTTATAGAACAGATACTCATTCTATATTCAATACTATATTCTGAAGTATATTGGATATTTTGGATATTTACTCTTCCATGTAAATTTTATAATCAGTATTTTAATATCCAGGAATATTTTTGTTGGGATTTTGATTGAAATTACATTGAACTTAGAAGCATATTTTATGGTATTGAGTTTTCTCCATGATCATAATCTATCTCATTTAATTAGGTTTTTTTTGGTTTTAAATGACGTTTTCTGTAAATGTTGTTAGATTCATTTTAATAGTGATCTTTTGTTAAGGTATTTTATATTTTTGTAGCTGTCGTGAATTATATTTTGTATTTTATTATATTTTTCAATTGGTTATCACTTGTATTTGAATTCTATAGATGTTTATGTGTTTATTACATGTTCTTGATTATGTTTCTTGATATATTCCTACCAGTCCTGATAGTTTACTTGCAAATAATGACAATTTTGTTTCATTGTTTTCTTATTGCTTTGTTTAAGACACAGTATCAGGATAAAGACTCTTACAAATGAGGAACAGAAGGGAATGTCCTTGATCTGATAACAGGCATACACACAGAATTACAGCACATGTCACATTTAATGATAAGATTTTATGGTAAAATTTCGAATGTTTTCACATTAAAGTCAGGAAAAGGGGATCCCTACTCTCTCTCTTCCTATTCAATATTATGTAAAAAAATAGCTTTTATGGTGGGTATGATTTATCAGGTTAAGGAAATTCCTTTCTATTCTAAGGTAGCTAAGATTCTTTGGTGAATGGTATTTAATATTATTAAATTCATATTCTATATGTATTGAGATAATCATATGTATTTTTCTCCTTTAAATTGGGGTCTGATGTTAAATTATCCTTTCATTTCTTGGATAAGTTTCTCTTTAAAACATATTTTTATATACTAAAGGATTCAACTTGCTAAATTTTATGTTTGGTTTCTTTTCTATGTTCACTAGAAGATAGGTCTACGTATATATATTTTTTGTTAGGCTATTTTTTGTGTGTGTGTCAAGGCTATACTAATCACATATAATGCAATGATGGGAAATACTCTGATTATATTTTTCTTTAAATAAACTGTGTAAAATCTTCCATGCCTGATGACATAATAAAACTTACTCCAAAAACCAGCTGGTTTTGATGTCCATTTAGGGATGAAAGCAGGAGTGGGAAAATATTTTGATTACCAATGCATTTTTTAAAAGAGATTTGTGGTTCACTTAGGACTTTCATTGCACCTTGAATTTTGATGATTTGTATTATATATTTGATAATTTATATTGTTCTAGAAAATTATTCTTGCAATCTATTGTGCAATGTTATTCATATAATTTAAAAATAGCTACAGTATTTGTAGAGTTCCCCTTTCATTCTTAATATTGTTTATTTTTACCTTCTCTCTTTTTTTCTTACTCCTGGTATATAATTATATACAAAAAGAATTATATTCTTTTTTCTTATTTATTCTTACTACTTTTCTGAATAAGTGCTTAACTCATTTATTTATTTATTTATTTATTAAGGTATCATTTATATACACTCTTAAGAAGATTTCACAAGAAAAACAATCTGGTTATTACATTCACCCTTATTATCAAGTCCCCTCCATACCCCATTGCAGTCACTGTCCTTCAGTGTAGTAAGATGCCACAGAGTCCCTATTTGTCTTCTCTGAGCTACACTGTCTTCCCCTTGACCCCACACACACCATGTGCACCAATCATGATACCCCACAATCCCTTTCTCCCAACCCGCCCCATCCTCCCCTACTCCTCCCCTTTGGTAACCACTAGTCCCTTCTTGGAGTCTGTGAGTCTGCTGCTGTTTTGTTCCTTCAGCTTTGCTTCATTGTTATACTCCAGAAATGAGGGAAATCATTTGGTATTTGTCTTTCTCTGCCTGACTTATTTCACTGAGCATAATACCTTCTAGCTCCATCCATGTTGTTGCAAATGGTACAATTTGTTTCTTTCTTATGGCCGAATAGTATTCCATTGTGTATATGTACCACATCTTCTTTATCCATTCTTCCATTTCTTGGCTATTGTAAATAGTTCTGTGATAAACATAGGGGTGTATATGTCTTTTTCAAACTGGAATGCTGCATTCTTAGGGTAAATTCCTAGGAGTGGATTTCCTGGGTCAAATGGTATTTCTATTTTTAGTTTTTTGAGGAACCTCCATACTGCTTTCCACAATGGCTGAACTAATTTACATACCCACCTGCAGTGTAGGAGGGTTCCCCTTTCTCCTCATTCTTGCCAGCATTTGTTATTCCTAATCTTTTCTATGTTAGCCATCCTAACTGGTGTGAGGTGATATCTCATTGTGGTTTTAATTTGCATTTCCCTGATAATTAACGATGTGGAGCATCTTTTCATGTGCCGGTTGGCCATCTGAATTTCTTTGGAGAACTGTCTGCTCATATCCTCCACCCATTTTCAAGTCCAGTTATTTGCTTTAACTCACTTATTTCTAATCTTGTTAATTTTTGATAAATGCATTTAAAGGTATAGATTTTACACTAAGTACTATGCTGTGTCTTTGAATTTCTGTAAGTAAAAATTCTCTTATTCAAAATCCTTTGTAATTCCTCTTTAACTTGGAAGTTACGTGGGTATGTGATTTTTAGTTTCGAAATGTTTGGTTTTTGAGAAGAATTTTTTTATTGTTGGATTCCTATTGCACTGTGGTCAGAAAGTATGAGTTACATGTTGTTAATTCTTTGAAACCATTATGTAAAATAGACACTGCATCAAACTGTCATACCCAAATACAAATTTTCAAAGTGTATGAACCAGGACCAGTTTCATGAGTCTTGGGCCCTTTACTTGGGAATCTATACCTATATCTAATTGATGTTTTCTTTCTCTCCCCTCTTAATATGTTAGTGTTCCTTATTAGTCCTATTAAGGCTTTTTACCTAAAATTCCATTGCACGTGATGACATTAATGCAAAATCAGCTTTATTTTGCTTAGTATTTATCTAGAATATCTTCATTCACTCTTTTGTCAAGCATGTTATTTTATTTTGGGTGTAGATCTTTATGCTGTAGCTGGACTTCGTTGTTTTTGCTGATGTTTGTAATCCAATCTGAGGTCACTGTCTTTTAACAGGCTCACTTAATCTATTTAAATTTATTATAATTATATACAAATTATGGATTGTATCTACCATCTTGTTTTATTTTTCTGTTTGCCATTTGTTTTTCCTGTTTTTTTTTCCCTTCTCTTTTTTCGATTCTCCTCTTTACTTGCTAAATTTTGTTTTACTTCAGTTTGGTAGTTTTTTTTCTCTGCCTTTGTGGTTTTTATTCTGCTTTTCCCCATGGAAATGCTTAATCATTCTGATGTGTAACTCCAACTTTTAAAAACTCAATTAAAAATCTATCATGTCTATGTGTGAAGTACAGGAAACAATTTAAAATGGACAACCCCAGTCCCATCTCTTTATCTTCAATGCTTTGTTTTTGTGTCATTTTAAGTAAATCTCATAAAAGTCTTATTTTTCGCTTTGGCTTTTATTTTTTCAAGGTAACTTGAGAGTCTTTGTCTTTTAATAGAGAAATTTAACCCAGTGGCTTCTCTTCTTTTGGGATAAGTGCTGTGCCTGCGATTGCTCCTGTCCTTCTTTTATTGTTCCTGTTCTGTTTATTTATGTGCCTTAGTGTCCTTCCATTTTCTTTACCCTGCCTTTTGCTTGAATGATACCTCTTGTTGTCGTTTCTCTCCATCCCTGCACAAAGTGACTTAGAATTTTAACATCTTAATTATATTCTACTACCGAAAATCATTACATTTTTAATAAACATTTTACATGTTTTTTTTACTAATTTCATGAATGAAAATTATCTTCTTAGACAAAATTAATTTAATCCAGTTTTTCTTTCTTTCCATCTCTTCTTGAATCTCAGAAAATAAGAATTTTTATTATCAGACTGATACTTTTTACTTTGCATCATATCCTCTTTTTAAACCATATTTTTTCATAGTTGTAACATCAATACTTATTTAAAAGTAATTATACATATTATTGGTTTCATTGATCACAATTAATTCATGTGTATTATGTCCTCTTCTTTCATGAGGGTTCATTGGAA